GTATATATATATATATATATATATATATATAAATTGCCTCTTACGTCTGCTTCCTTGGAAGGGGATAGATGAGTTCCATGCGTAAATAAGGAATTCGTAGTGAACGGCATCATTCGTGCTTTGTTTTCCTTTTGTTCTTGTTCACTCTGGATTGAAGGAGTGGTAAGGAGGATGCTCTATGCGGAGAGAAATCAAATAATCTGAGCATAGACGCCACCACTTTTTTGGCACTTTTTTTCCCGATTCCTCAACCCCCCTCTCTCTCTTACACACACACACTCACACAGAGAGGGAGATTTGCTTTTCCCTCCCCAACAGACCGCCCGTCACATTTCCTTCTCCTATTCTTCCCCTCCTTCCCCCTATACGTTGTGTATGTAAGAGATGCCTTGACCCGCATATTACTTTTTCCTCTGCCTTTTGATGGGAAACGAAGCACATTCGTTCATGGAATCCCCTATATTGTGTGCCTACCTGCGCACATGTGGGCCGTGCATCAACACCATGACATCCGCAGTAGCGGATCTTTCTGGGCGACACATGGACACTGGTGTTCAGCGGGCACGCATACACAGGCAAAAGAAATCCACTCTTCCTCTGTCGTTTATTCCTGAATTCTGACATACAGCTGATAGCGATAGCAGGAGTAACAAGAACAGCTACTGTTACAAAAGCAACAGATCCGTTATCGGCTTCTCCCCCTCCCCCTCCCCTGCTGCACCGTCTACATCAATAGATAAAGCAGAACAGAAAAAAACAAAAGATCCCGAAAAAAAAAAATCAACAACAACCATACCTTGACCAACGGAAACTACATCTTCGACGGCGCCTGGGTGTCAGCCTCATCGACGGTGCGCACCAGGTCCATTCTGTACCCAAGGCCACGCAAGCACGCCTTCACAGCGCGCTGCATCACCGGTGGGCCGCAGATGGCCACCATCAGGTCACTCGACGGCGGCTGCACTGTGCTGCTCAGGACGTTCTTGTCGACGAACCCCACACCATCAGTCCACATCGGCGGAGGATGGTTCAGCACAAAGGTGCTGCGGAACTTGCCCTGCGACTCCCTCTGGTGTTGCTCCAGTACCTCGCGGTACGTCAGCTCCGTCACATCCTCGGCGGCGTAGATAAGCCGAACGCTTTCAATGGTGTTAATAAACGGCTTTTTAAGTGCTGCCCGAATAATCTGAAGCATCGGAGCAACACCAGTTCCACCCGCGATGAGGCACAACTTTTTAATCACGTGTCCATGGAAGTACAAGTATTGCTCCTTGAACCGCCGCTCAATCACAAGGCCGCCACATCCCTTCATCTCCACAGCATCGCCCGGCTCCAAGGCAGAGATCCACTCCTTCAGCGTACCCTTGTCACTGCGCGCCAGGATGCCAATCACGCCAAAATCATCAGGCAGGGTGATGGGGCTGTAATAGCCAATGAGTTGCTGCCCATCCCACTCACCGCGGATGGCGATGAATTGACCGAGATGAAGACCAGAACGCTGCAGTGCGCCTGGGAGGTTGAACCGCAGCACACGGGAACCGGCGCCAAACATGCCGCCCTCACGCACCTCGCGCAGAACCACCGTTGTCCACGACGTGAATGAGAGAGGCGCTGCCTTCTTCTGCAAAATCGTAGCAGAACGATCACCCGCAATACGGCCGAACACCACACACTCCAGAAGTGAGTTGCCACCGAGACGGTTACCGCCGTGCACTCCGCCTGTAACCTCACCTGCGCCGAACAATGCAAGAATCG